GTTTTCTGGTTGATAATGGCCATATTATAAACAGGCCATATTATAAGCTCAGATAGAATAAATACATGGGGAGGGTTTTCTATATTTCTTCTGAGTCATTTTCTGTGCAGTCCTAGCATAGTATTTGTCAGGAAAAAGTAGCATAGATCAGAAGGGTGACATCTCCCAGCCTTTGTGTGCACTGTTGTGAAACCCCCAGTGTTATAACATTAGCTGTCACTCTGCTGACAGGTTACCTCCTGATCCGGACAAAGGCAACAGTAGTTTGCCTGCATTCTGCTTGGACTTGCAGGATATTGTCAGTCATGCATTCGCAGCAGCAGCATAAATCAAGCCTTAAGATGATTTAAAGACTAGAATTGAAGCCTCTCTTTCACAATCACCATAATCTAAAGGAGATTGGGCCAATGGCTTACTCTCTGGTATTTGGGAGGCAGAGCAATAATTATATTTTTGGCCAAGGAAATACTTCTTCTTTTGTTGCCTGGTTTCTGTAACACATGTAGAACTTTGCAGTTTTCCTGTCCTGACTTCTAGATTCAACTTTTTACTGGCCATTTCTGATTTAAGATCCTATCTAAATCCTTGACATTGATGTGTCCTGATTTAATCAGATGTCTTCTACCATTTGAGTGAGAAGCACAATAGAGTTTGGTCTTTCGGCACCAGTGTTGAAGGCTGAAGGGATTCACTAGCTCTATCACCTGGGCCAAGTTACTGATTAATGCTCCCCAAACCTGTATTTCTCTCTGGAATTATTAATATTAATTGATAGATTAATATATCTCAAGCATCCGAGCTAAAAATCTCAAAATCCTCCATTGATCCTCGTCCTTTACCTTTCTATCTACTTGTCTGCAAAGTGCTTCTGATAAATCTCTCAGACTGTTTGGCTATCCCCTCTGATGTCACTGAAGCATATACTGTCCCTAAAATGTGGTAATCCCATAGCCCCAATTTTTCTTCCCACTTTTGCTCTTCATAGCTCCGAAGATCTTAGAGGTTCTGAATCTCAAACTTTAGCGTACTCAAAGATCTCCTGGTGGGCTTGTTCAAATGCGGATTCCCTGGCCCCAGCTCCATAGAGTCTGATGTGGTGTATCTGGGCTGGGGACTGAGAGTCTGCATTTCTAAGAAGATACCAGTAGATACGGGTCCATGATAGTCCTAACCTACAGGATCACATATAATTTTTGGCACATTTTCCAGCATCCTTCATATTGAGTCTCCATCTAACTTTCCAGATGACTCTGCTCTTTTGTTTGTGTGTATTTTCTCAGGGTTCATTTTGTCATTCTCATTAGACAATTTTCCCAGACTCCTCAGCCTGTCACATTCTTCCATACCTCTTTGCGTTTGCTTGTAGTAATTTGGAGAGATAATACAGCGTGGGAATTAAGAGAAAGTGGCAAGCCTGTGACTACTAAAATAGTTGAGAAAATAATCAACACATTGTGGCCTCTCTCCTTAGGGGCTGTGTGATCTTGGGCAAGTGATTTTGTTTTCTATGCCTTGATTTTAATATCTGAAGAAAAATGGAGCAGATTATAATAGGGGCTACCATGCAGATTCTTGTGGTGATTAGATGGCTTAAGGCATCCCACAGATCTTGAACAGCCATATAGCATGTGTTAACTCTTTTTGTTGTCTTCTTTACACTTGTTCCTTTACCTGTTACTTTAGACCCATATATGTATATATTTTTTTATTTTTTGCTCTGAAATTCTCCTTTTCTGACAAAGGCCAGATCTTTTTTTTTTCTCTCTGCAGATTTCTCTGCTGTTTACCTTTCTTTAGTCCCAGGACCAGTTGATGAATCCTTCCTGCCTGTTAGCAAGATGCTATATTGATGCTTGCATTCATTGTCTTGTAGTTTTTGCCTTATGTATATTTTGCAGGTAGAGCCTGAAATTCTTGATTCTTGGAAATTCAGTACCCCAATTCTGCCTTCTTAGTTCACTTTTCTTTCTTTCTTTTCTTTTCTTTTTTTTTTTTTTTTTGAAACAGAGTCTTGCTCTGCCACCCAGGCTGGAGTGCAGTGGCACAATCCCGGCTCACTGCAGGCTCCTGGGTTTACGCCATTCTCCTGCCTCAGCCTCCCGAGTAGCTGGGACTACAGGCACCCACCACCGCACCCAGCTAATTTTTTGTATTTTTAGTAGAGATGGGGTTTCACCATGTTAGCCAGGATGGTCTTGGTCTCCTGACCTTGTGATCCACTCACCTTGGCCTCCCAAAGTGCTGGGATTTTAGGTGTGAGCCACTGCGCCTGGCTGCATTTGTTAAGTTTTAAACAGATGCCATCCATATGCCTGACCTCATGCTTGTAAAGAGTTCATTTGGCTGATGGAGTGCTGTATGGGGAGTGGATTGGACAAAAGTTCAGTCATCTAAAGCAGAAATCTTAAATTCTATGCTCTCGGAAGTATACTTCCCTATCAATGTGATTCTGTCACTTCCTTATATTAGGAGTGATTTGACATTTTTATTACTTCAGGATTTTCCCCAAATATGCTGGTAGTAACTTTGGCTTGATCTTAGGCCAGTATCTTAATATCTTACATTTGGTTAGGATTTATAGTTTGCAAAGAATTATCACATAAATGAATACCCTTTGCTTTTAAAGCATCTTTCTGAGATGGGACTGGAAAATATTAACTCTTCTTGATTATTACACAAAATGCTGGATAGAGTGACCCTCTCAAAGTCCCGTGGCTAATAAGATATGGGGACCATACAATGGGCCTTGCTGTCCTTGGGGACTTTGAAAGAAGAGTCTTACGTAAAAAACCTAGAAGACAGGAGGCAGACTGCATATTACTTGGGGAAAGTGTGAAAAGGGAGAAATTTTATTCCGGGTATGGTTCTCCTTTCTTTTGGTAGTGTGGCCATGAGGAAGAGAAAAAAGAGGAAAGTCAGGTTTTGAGAGGCTGGGCAGTCTTTCAGACAACAGATGTAGCTATATTCTCTTGAAAGCACATAAATATTCATTTTCACATTTTACTGGTTTGTATTGATACTAATTTACTTTGTCCTATATAAAATTGCTAGGTGGTTACACTTGTATACTGATGGAAAAACTTTCCCTTTACCCATGTAGGGTTCTGTTAGGGCCGGTAAATTTAATTCACAAAAGATATATTAACAGGAAAAAAAGGTAAAAAAAAAATCTTATTAGATGACAATATTTTCACATGCACAGGGACTTCACAGAAAAGAAATAAAAACTCAAGGAATTGGTTAGACCTAGAAGTTTATATACCATTTTAATGAAGGGCAATACATTGTGGAGAAGAGAATAGACAAAGAAAAGGGGGTTTGGGGCCCCGGGGAGTAAATTGTGGGGAAGTGACCTAGAAATATATGGCAGATAAGGCTTGTTTACTAAGGCTTGTTATGCAGATGAGTTATTTTTCTCTTCCTGGTATGGGAGAAGGGAATCTTTTTACAAATGGAAACTTTTATTACATTTACAAAGGGAAACTTATACCTGCTTTTAGGCAGAAATGGGGAAGGCAGAGAGTTCTTCCTGCATCTACTGCCTCTCAGTTGCTCTCAGCTCAAAATAATCCTTATGCCAAGGTAGCATATTTTGGAATGGCATATTCTGATACTTCTCACTAGGAAATCTATACCATACATAACCTGATCACTTGAGAATTGATTAGTGTTCAGTGTTAGAGTGAAAGAATGACGGGAAGGAGATTACTGGACATGACCTGAGGGCAGTGTTCTCAGTGTGGAAGGTGAAATGAGCAGGTGCCTCCATGTCACTTAAGTTGTATAAAATAGGAGAAATAAGCAGAGTTGATTAGATTGACTTATGTCTTCCTGGGATATCATCTAATCGACAACACTAAAACGTTTCCTCACCAACAAAAACTTCCTGGTTCAAAATTTTTATTATAGTTGTCTATTTGGAAAGTTAATTTAAAGAAATATCATTGAAGTATGTTGAAGAAAGTATTTTATGACCGCTACTTTTTATTAAACAGCTTTTCTTTTATTATAAAAGTAACATTTTTATTTTTATTGTGGTAAACACACACACACACTCACAACATAAAGAGATATGATCACAGGACATTGCACTCCAGCCTGGGTGAGAGTGAGGCCCTGTCTCTAAAAATAATTAAATAATTTAAAAATTAAAAATTTACCACGAGAGCCAATTTTGAATGTACAGTTAAGTAGCGTTAAGTGTATTCCCGTTATTATGCAACAGATCTCTGGAACTTTTTCATCTTACCAAACTAAAACACTATACTCATGAAATAACAACTTCTCATTTCCTCCTCTCATCCCCTGGCAACCACCAGTCGACTTTCTGATTTTATGAATTTGACTATAGAAATAATCTTTTTGAAGGATAAGATTTTTTTTTTTTTTTTTTTTGGCAAAAGTACTTATATTTATAAGCATAGATAATTTAAAAATGTGAGGCCAGCACTTTGGGAGGCCAAGGTGGGTGGATCACCTGAGGTCAGGAGTTCAAGACCGGCCTGACCAACACGGTGAAACCCCGTCTCTACGAAAAATACAAAAATTAGCTGGGTATGGTGGCAGAAGAATTGCTTGAACCCAGGAAGCGGAGGTTAAAGTGAGTCAAGATTGTGCCTTTGTACTCCAGCCTGGGCGACAGAGCAAGACTCCACCTCAAAAAAAAAAAAAAAAAAAAAAAAGTGCGAAACATTTAACTGTGTGTCTCCAGAAACCTAAGAATTTCAGTACGCCTACTTATAGGGACTCCTGTAAAGAAAATCAGTATAGTTTTTCTTACCCTTACCTTTATAGTATATGTAATATTATTTTGTTTCTTAAAGTAGCAATTTAGAAACCAAATAAATGTCTGGAACTATTTACTTTGTTTACTATTATTATGCCTATCATTAAGCTTTTGCTAAGTTATGCTATGGTAACAAGCAGTTTCCAAACTTCACTTTATTTTACTTTTTCTCATATACATATAAGGTATAATTTATGCTAATTTTTATGGTCAGGGAAGAAAAATGCCAGAACTTTGGGAAAACTCTTAAAAATTCTGCTGAAATGTGGCACTTGCAGCTTCTCATATTCCACTGGTCAAGCAAGTCACAGAGCCAAGAGTGACATCAATAAGACACAGAAGTATATATAGTAATGGTCATAGATACAGTATCCTCTTCCAGGTAAGGCAGAAAATATTTGGGATTCACACATGCAATTTACCTTACCAGGCAAATCACTTGTAATGGTGAAATATTATTTTTAATCATGAACATTTTCATAGGTCTGCAAATAATGGCAGCAATAGGAAATGCTTCAATTCATTTATGTACTGAGAATCTGAAATGAAAATCAACATACAGGAAGAATGACTTTTGCATCCTATCTAAGCCATCACTTATTTAAGATGTTGAAAACAATATTTTCTTGCACTAATGTGAGCATGGTACTCCCTAATTTAGGACTGGTAAGTGCAACCTAACTGGATAAAATGGTGTCTATTCATTGTGTGAAAATTCACATACGTATATTATATGCATCACAATCTGCTAGAAATTTTTTTTCTGCACCTAAACTTTTGAATTACTTTACATATTACTCTGCTTAATGTCTTGGCTTTATTAATTGGTTCAGCCAATCAACTCTCTGACTTTGTCTGTATCTCCTCCCTTACTTTCCACTTGTTTTCTCAGTTAGAGAATTTTATAGAGGTTTATATGTGTGAGATTCATGCTTTAGATTAGTAATTTAAAAATCTGCCCCAAAATATTTGCCATTTTTAGCTGTTTTTGCTATTATAGATCACAAATTACTGGTGCCAGGCCACACAACATAATATGATACACCTTTGTGCTCAGACCTGCATTTGAGGGACGACTGACCTAGACCAAATTTCTTGAAACCTTAAAGTGCATCACCTGGAGATCTTGTGCAAATGCAGATTCAAATTCAGCCATCTGTGTGAGTCTGAAGGCTTTGCATTTCCAACAAGGTCCCAGGTGATCTGAGGCCACAGGGTCCAAGAACCACATTTTGAGTAGCAAGTCTAACTGACAGAATTGTGAATACTGAAGCTCATGGGTGTGGCACCTTATCTACAACTACGTTACTAATTAGACGTGAAGGTCCTCCTGACACATGGCTGAGTGAACGTTCCATCCTACTGTGTGTAGCCACTGTTGTTTATTTAGTTTTGTTCCTAATGGAAATTATTCTGTGCCTCAAGCCAGGAGTTTATTTGACTTCACCACAAGCTAAAATTCCTTCAGAGAAGCTGGGTTCCAGGATCTTAAAATTAAAGGAGACAATGTTTCCAGCACAGAAATTTATTTATGTTGGTGGGGATAAGTCTCTGGATAGGTAGCAGTTTGTTCATCTATCAGAAAAGTCCCTTGGACGTGGCCCCAAGAGAAATGGAATGTTTTAAACTATTGCAGGTGGGCACAGGAGCAAAGAGGGAGTGTCTTTAAGCACAATACCTACAGCAATGGAATGCTGGCTCTTCTCTGATTTACTCTCCTTACTAATTCTATAGTCAAGCAAAAGGAGAGGTGCATGCCAACCAAAGAGGGGCATATTTTCAGGACTGCTTTTCTCTACTGGCCTCTCCCGTCTTGAGGAAAAGGGCCATGTGAAATGTGTGTGTGTGCATATGCCCAAGCATGTGCCTTGTGGCTGGGAGCTCCATGTAAACATGCAGTTCTTCTTCCCCTTCTCCTCATTCTCCTTCTCTTCCTTCTTCTTCCTCTTTTCCTCCTCCTCCCTCCTCCTCCTCTCTCCTCCTCCTCCCTCCTCCCTCCTCCTCCTCTCTCCTCCTCCTCCTCTTTTTCTTCCTTTCTGCTTCTGCTTCTTCTGCTTCTGCTTCCTCCTCCTTCCTCTTCTTATTCTTCTCCTTTTCTTCTTCTTTCCTCTCCTTCTTTCTCTCCTCCTCCTTCCTCTTCTTATTCTTCTCTTTTTTCTTCTTCTTTCCTCTCCTTTCTCTCCTCCTCCTCCTCTTCTTCCTCTTCTTATTCTTCTTTTTTCTTCTTTTCTCTCCTCCTCCTCCTCCTCCTCCTCCTCCTCCTTCTTCTTCTTCTTCTTCCTTCTTCTTCCTTCTTCTCGTCCTTCTCCTCCTCCTTCTCCTCCTCCTCCTCCTCATTCCTTTCTTCTTCTTCCATTAAAAAGTTACCATTCCAGTCTTTTAAGTGTGTGGTTCTGTGGAATGAGGCACATTCATATTGTTGTGCAACCATCATCACCATCTCTAGAACTTTTTCATCTTCCCAAACAAAAACTTGCCTGATTTACTCCCCCCATTTCCGCAACCATCATTGTAATTTCTGTCTCTATGAACTCAAGTGCTCTGAGAACCTCATACAAATGGTATCCCAGGATATTTATCCTTTTATGTCTGCCTTATTTCTCTTAGCATGCTTTACCTCTTTTAAAGCCAAGCTTTAATTTAATAACCTTTATTATTATTTTTACTCTGAATTGTTGAACTGAAGGTTGGTGGGATGATATAGTCCTCAGTCCCTTGATCTCTTGGGTTGAATAACTGCATATATTAATCCATTATTTTAGAACTATTTATCCATTGTAAAAGCCTCTTGAACCTAACAGATGCCTAACACATGGGTCTCTCTCCCCAGATTGTTTGGTGTCTCCTTGGCAAAAGAGGCTGTTGAGAATACAACTATTCAGGCTCCCATGAACTCCTTAAAAGGTAAAGCAAGCTTTATTCTTTTCCGTGCCTTTGGGCACCAACATTGGTCATGCTCAGTAAAGGGAATTGAAGTTTAGAGAATGTGAAATGGGCAGCATATACAGGTTGGTCTCGGGATCCTTTTGGGTTCTCCCAATAACCCAAGAAAGTAGCTGTAATTTTCCCCATTGTACAATATAGAAAACTGGGAGTTAGATGGAATAATGGACAAGTTTGACAAAATTTGTTGGTTGGGGGCTACATTGCAGGACTTTTTGTTTTAAAAGCTCATGTTCTTTCTTCATACTTTAAATTTCTGTTCCTGGCATCAGAAACTGAGTAGATTCTCCCTCCAAGTATTTGGAAAGGAAATATAAAATTTAATTTTTTCACCATACTGAATATTGTTTCTTTCAGACAATATCCCTACACGTAGAACCAGAAACAAAGACATTATAGTCCTTAGGCACTTGGGGTTCAATCTCCTTTGCAATTCTCAGGAAGATCATTTGTTTTACACAATATTCCCTTTGAACTTGGACTCACTTTGGGACTTTAAGTAACCTACAGGGTTCCCTTACTGAACAGTTGTCCCATTATGATAGGGAATTGTTTTTACTCCTCAAATCAAAGTGATAGTAAACTTTTCAATGTGTAGGGTGAACCCTTGCAAACACTTTTTTTCAAGTTCCTTTGCCTTGGCTCGGTGTCTAACTAAGGAAATGAGAAACCATCATCGTAGATGGGTAGAGAGCTTGCTGGTCAGGTCATCCCTGCTGCTTGCAAACAATCCAGACCTTGTCTGAGTGGGGTAAGCATGGCGAGCCCAATAGAAACAGCTTGGGGTGGTCATGGCTGTTCATTTTTTTCTCTATTTCTGGACCCTACAACCTACAGTGTCTGTTTGTCTCATTATTCCCTTTCTGGGTGGCAGAAATGGATATAAAACCTCTGTGGTGGTTTCACCTTCCTCCCTTTTATTATTACTTTTGTACCTTTTTATGCCTCGCTATGTTACGAACACTCTTACTGCTCTGAGTTTAAGCCAGCACATAAATAATTATGGAAATAAAATGAAAGCATGTATTGTTTAACTTACCTTTAGTTATTTCAGAGGGAAAAAAATACATGTGACCTAAACATTCCAACGTATTTCTTAACTGTTGTATCTGTTTTGGAAAAACAATCTCAGTAAATTTTCTTTTTAAGTTTTTATTTCCTTAAGTTTTTGTGGGTACATAGTAAATGTATATATATTTATGGGGTACATGAGATGTTCTGATACAGGCATGCAATGTGAAATAAACACATCATGAAGAAGGGGGTATTCATCCCTTGAACATTTATCTTTTGAATCTCAGTACATTTTAAAGCAATTCGGTTCGATAAGTAGATATCAGTCACATTTGGTATTCAATTCTAAATTTACTTAAATTAATACAATGAAAATTCGCCATATCTGTAGCCTAGAGGTTTTCAACCAGAGGTGATTTTGTCCCCAAGGGAATATCTGGCAATGTCTAGAGACATTTTCAGTTGTCACTACCAGGGAAGAGGTGCTACTGGTATCTAGTAGGGGGCTCAGGAATGCAGCTCAACATGCTGCATAGTAGCATTACCATGCAGAGAATAGCCACCATCACAAGGAACAATCGGCCCAATATGTCAACAGTGGTGAGAGCATCACTGGTATCTAGTGGGGGACTCAGGGATGCAGTTCGACATGCTGCATGATAGCATTACCATGCACAGAACAGCCACCATCACAAGGAACCACCAACCCAATATGTCAACAGTAGCGACAGTGAGAAACTGCACTTGTCACATTTCATGTGCTGAATGTCCTAGGTAGCTAGAAGCTGCAATATTAGGCAGCACCAACTTAGAGCATTCCCCACTGTCACTGCTGACATTTGGTTCTATCAGGCAGCGTGCTCTCAGCTGAGAGGGAAAAGTTAAAGAGGACTGGGAGCACGAAAGTGATATTCCTATGAAGACACATTTCTTTGAATGAGATACCACAGATTCTAGATTTCTTTGCCATAGACAGGCTCTATGTTTCTCAGGTTATGATTGTTACTGAAGTCATACTATTAGTAACAGTACTCAGCTGTTTGTGGAGTACTCCACGACCCACAAATGGTTTGTCATAAATTGTCTCATTTAATTTTTGCAAAACTGTAAACCATAGAAGCTCTCTATTTTAAAGGTGAGAAAAGTGGGGTGATTTATTTGTTTGTCATAACAATGTGTCACATGAACCCTTGTATATTTTAAAAAGAAAACTGGCTAGCACGTGACCTGCTACATGGGTGCAGTCCAGGTCTTTATGTGACAGTATCTATGAATTCATAGATTGTATTTTTATAGGGACATTTCATTAAAGTAAAGCAGAACTTCACCCCCTTCCCTTCACACTTAAACAGGACTTTTTGAGAGATGATGTGCCCTTTTTTGACATGTATCAAGTCATTTTATTTTTCATATTTGGGAAGACCATTTCACTCAGATTAGCTTATGCAATTAAAGATAACATAATGCATGTGTCTTAGTTTTCCTTTAGCTTCTACTTTAAAAAGAATATTTGAGGATGTCTTTAGTTACACATTAATTATGTTATCCTGACCAAATGAGGTAATTTGGAGAGAAATCAAAGTATATAATATGAAATGAGATGTATAGGAACCCAATACTAAAATTCAGTCATTTGCTGGCTGTACAAAATAAAGGTAGCTAGCTGGCCATTTGCGTTTCATAAGACAGTCTTAACAACATTTTGCTAATGTTGTTATGAAGAGAGAAATATATCATGGACTGGATAAAAATAATGTTGTACATATACATCATGGACTACTGTGCAGGCATAAAAAGGAACAAGATCATGTCATTTGCAGGGAGATGAATGGAGCTAGAAGTCATTATTCTCAGCAGACTTACTCAGGAACAGAAAACCAAACACCTTATGTTCTCATTCATAATTGGGAACTGAACAGGGAGGGGAATAGCACACACTGGGGCCTGTTGCAGGGTATGGTAGGGAGAGGGAGGGCATTGGGATAAACAACTAATGCATGTAGGGTTTAATACCTAGGTGATGGGTTGATGGGTGTAGCAAACCACGATAGTACATGTTTACCTGTGTAACCAGCCAGCATATCTTGCACATGTGCCCTGAAACTTAAAAATTGAAAAAAAGAATTAAAGCACCCAAAGAGAGACCCCTCAACAATTTCTACACTGGATAGTTGAAATAGAAGCGTAAGTTTTGGAGACCATGAAATGGACTTCCTATGTTTAAATATCTTAATGATTTCATTGCATAGATGGTTAAGACCAACCACTATTTTCATCTCCACCTGCAACACAGTCCACTGTTTTCATTATTTCCTGAGGCTTTATTATGCACCTGAGTGGACTATCTTTGCACACTACCATGGAAGAAATGATTTCTGGTGAAGTAGTTTCCATGCCTTTCTTAGATAAAGGATTTGAGGAAATTGTTTGAGATGATGCCTTTCTCTGCTGAGCATTGCAGATGGAATATGATCAGTTTCTGTAACACTATATGTTTTGGCCTAAAAACGATGCGTATGGACAGAGTTGCAGTGAACCAAGATTGCTGTACTGCACTGCAGGCTGGGAGATGGAACTAGACTCTGTCTCAAAAAAAAAAAAAAAAAAAAAAAAAGATGCCTATGGAAATGTGGAATACATTATGTGACAAAATACTTAGGAGTCTCTTTGTCTTCTTAATGTTTAAAAGGATATTTGTGCTAATTGAGAGGTGCCAAATTTACAGCTTTGAGATTTTGCAAAATTCATTTCTTGTATAGGACGTACAGGAGCCCAGGCAAACTAGACTATTTCTGGACTTCCTTCACTGGCTCACATAATGCATTTTTAATCATATTTGAAAAAAATGACTTCCATCAATAGTGGACTGTGGAAATGAGGATTTGTTGTTATAGTAGATAAAGTAGATTGTATAGAAAGAAGACATGGCAGGAGGTATGGCAGACATGACTTGGTTGGGAGGTAAAATATATATTTATGTATTACAGTTTGCTTAAGAAAATCCATTTGGAACTTCCCTGTGGTTCCTGGTGTCCCCCATATTTTAGGGGTGAGTCAGGGAGTTACGTGGGTGAATTACAAATTTCACATGAATGGGACATGTGCATTTTATTGTGAAGTCTTCAGTGCCATGCTTATCATTTTAACCTTCCGGTTTCCTAAGACCTTAAAGCAAGCATGTCCAACCCATATTATATATATTTTATATAGTACGTGTAATATATATATTTTATATATATGGAATATATATAATACAGCATACTATATAGTATATACAGTATCCATATATGATGCCATATACAAGGTCATACACACACATACACACAAAAAATATGCCACATTATTAAGTAAGTTATGTATAAATGTTGATTGATTTGACAAAAATCTAGGTTTTCTAGCAGGTAGAGATATCAAGATCCTAAGATGTGAAAACACAGGTAACTCGTGGTGGATCTGGGTATTAGCTCAAGTGTTCTTCCCTGCATAATCAATACTGGGGCATCAGAAAGATGTTCATTTATTTTTGTTTTAAATGAACAGGAAATTATTTTTCAGAAAGTTAATTTAGCATTGTATTCCTCAGTAATAACCAGAAGAGAAATCTGAACCTTTCTACAGATATTGTTTTATCTGACTTTTACATGCTTTGACCTGGTTGTCTTGAAAATATATTTGAACATGAAATATTTAAATGAAGCAACTTTTATTTATGGAAATAAAAACCACTTTCCTTAGGGCATATTATATAAACTTTTATAAATATATCATAAGATGAAAAATGGAAGTATTTGTGAGAATCTAGTATTTCAGTTTTCTTTCCTCTGGAATGAGTTACTCTCATATGTAACAGGTGCCTTTACATCACCTCATGAATTATAAACACTTAAATATTATGGGAAATACTTTTGCCTTCCTGTGACATACTGGGGTATGGTATAAACATTTAG